GATGATGATGATGATGATGATGATGATGATGATGATGATGATGATGATTACCCGGGAGGAGACAGAGGGGATGATCCCTTTCTGGGGGCAGCTGCATTCACTGGCCCAACTCGCATTTCCAAGGAGTGTAGATAAGGACAAGGTGGGGAGGTAATATTAGGAACCCAGCATGGAGCCCATTGTGGGGCTTGCACTCATGTCCCTGAGATGAAGAAGACCTGCGCTGAGACCAGGAGTTGGAGGCTTCACGGACTGAGCTACCCTGGCACCTGTTGGGAATCTTGTTGAGATGGCTTTTGAGGGGCAGTCCTAACTGCCAGTAATACTACGTGCCTATGGATGATGGGGGAACATGGGTGGTACAAGGGGGTACCTGGACTGTCGCTGCATTCTTAGTGGGTCTTTGATAAGAGGTGTGCCACTTTCAGATCACAGGTCATCTGTAGGAGGTGATCACAGGATCGATTAGGGCAAGGGCTTCGTTGCTGTGGTGAGAGTCAGCTGATCAGAGTGGAGTGGCGACCCCACAGCCTGAAAAGGAGGTAGCCGTGGGGTACCCGAGACCAGTAGCCCTGGCAATAGTTCAAAGGTCCGCGGTACTCAAACTTCCAGCAGGAGGTACACTCAGTGCCCTGTGTGCTGTGGCCTTCCCAATGAGGAGACAACTGGGTCAACTCTCAGCCTGTGTCACAAGCCTAGCATACGGTGGTAACGTCTGCACCAGAAACAGAATGTTTTACTTTGTGCCCAGTCTACGATGGTGGTGTACATGTTGCCATGATCTGTGCAGTCAGTGAGCGTAATTCAGCCTGTAGCAAAGGCGGCAGTCTGGGTGGTGCAGGCTTGATCCGCAGCTTGCTTTCACTCTCACCATGCGCATCTACGTGAATAACCCAGATGATTCATTTAGTGGGTTTGGTTGATTTCCCCATTTCGTGGTGCTAAAGAGGAGGTCCTTAATCTACCAGTCTGTCTTTTTTCTCTAAGTTGGAGACCAAATAGTGAGCCGTAACAAGTCTTATCGGGGAGAGATAAGGTATAGGCCAGAGCAGCAGAGCAGTAGGAGTTACCTTGAATTCACTCCACCTAACGCAGCAGCCATGTCCATTCTTGGTTCTTCATAATTTGTGCTGAGGCAAAACAGCGAGCACAGCCAGCTGCGGCCATTCGGTTTCATTGTAACCAGGTCACCGGGTAAACTGGAGATTTGGAGAGGAAACAGGAATTCGGAGAGCCCCTCTGAATCCCACTGGGCCAGTGGCTTTGCTTTAGGCAACAGACGCCCAGAATGACAACAAACACTTCTTTGTGTAAAGTAGAGGTGGGACTTGGCCGACTAAGTCCTCGAGTCGGCCATTTCAGTTTGTTACATGAAACCTGTTGGGCTTTTCCTACATTGTTAGTCTTAAAAACTGAGTTCACCCACCCCGAAAGGAGAATATCAGGCCAGAGAGTCAGGAGAGCATCCTGGAATAATAAGTCTTCAGCGTTTGCAGGAGCCCAGGGACAAGATAATTGGTGCTTTTCAAAAGGATCCACCGGGTACGTGAGGTAGGGTAGGCTTGCCCATTGCTTGCCTTATCACAGAGACTTGTAACATAACGGCGTCATTAGGATTTGTGGACCCCAGAAGCACTTATTTGTGGGTTTCCCAAATGACAGAATCCCCACTGGCAGCATATTACACTTTATATCCGATGTATACATGTATTTGTAGAGTAATCTGAAGCATACATTCAGATTAGGGCAGCGCAGTAACAGTACGTTGAATAAGCCCATGGCTGATTGTCTCACTTCCTTGATCTGTGAAGTGTGCCCCAAATGCCATCAGTGGAACAGACTCAGATGGGGGCAGTGACTTCAGTAGCTGTTTCCAAACAGAGACGTAAAAGTTTGAGTCCCTCTGTTGTCCACGGTACACCAGCATGCTGGGATGCATGCGGATGGCCTTTGGCTTCCATTGGGGGGGGTGGGGAATCCTTACTCCCGACCCTAGCCATCCTCCTCCTTAAGGTGGCTAAAGTCAGGGTACACAGGAAGAAATCAGAGGACATGAAGAGGGAGAGGGTGGCCCCACATCAGTACACAAGACATGTTTCCACTTGCTTGTGAACAGCGTAGCCAGGCTGTTGATAACTTTGCTTTCACACGTTAGCTTTCACTTCTACATGAAGGCCAGACGGATGCCAGAACTTTTAAAAAGCCTATATCATCATCTCATTTCCCAGTTTCTCTCTCCTCTAGCTTTTCTCTCTCTCTCGCTTCCTTTTTCCTGATTGTTGTTCCATAACACCCAGCCGCTGACGTTAATACTTGTGGCTGGGACGTTTGTATCCAGAGCATCCTGGGAAGCTACCTCAGTCTTGGGACAGCTCTCCCCAAAGTAAAACAGAGGCAAACTTACGTACACGGTTCTCAGAGACCTGCCAGTAAGGTTGGCTGGGACCACGATCCTTTGAAAATAATGTCTGCGTTGTTCCCTCTGGCACTAAGAGTGTGGGCTGCTGCCTCCGTGGTCACTGTTGACGTAGGGTATAGGGAATGGTTGGTGGGAAGTTTAAAATCCCACAGTGCTCTGCCCTGCTGCAAGACAGCTGCTTTTTCATTCGCTCAGCCTTCCGTTTGGGTTATAGGTTTTATTTTGTGTTTGTGTTGTAAGTTTTGAGAAGGTCCCAGAGTTCTGCAGAAGTTGATTCTGGTGGATTCTGCCAGCATGTTACTTGCTGGAGGGACAGAGCCTTGGGGTTTTCTATTCTACCATTATGGTAGTCCTCCCCAACTCTTTGCCTCCTTTGATTCTAAATGGCATTGCTATTTTGCAAACAACTGTGAAAGGAGGGGGGGGGGCGGGGAAAGTGTGAAATGATGATGGGCTCACTGATTGTACCACATACGAAAAGTACACAGTATGTTTAGACATGAGCAATGTAGGATGGAACACTTTATTCTTACGCACTGCATAGTTCCCCTTCCTTCGTTACAATTGATTTAGCCCCTTCCATGGTCCTTTTAAAAAAGTTTTTTTCCCCCTCTTCATTCTTTCTAGCTTGTGAGTGGCACAATGGATGAATCTAGAATTTGCAGGCTAGGGGTGAAAGCAGATAGGTTGTGTGACTCTCAATCGAACGATACTCTTCAGCACCAAGACTCAAATTGTGCTGGCGCAAGTAGCAGGCATTCCTTGCAAGAGGATGAAGACAGTAACTTGATAAGAAAGAACAGGAACTTGGTGAACCCAGTGTACTGCACGCAAGAGTCAAGAATGGAGCCTCCTGGGCCAGATGGTGGAAAAGATCCTTCTGATGATCAGCAAGATTCACAGTGCAACAGGAACAAAGGAAGAACCTTAGGTAATAATTTCTGCTCAGTGCTTGGACATTTTCACATGCTACTCATTTTACCTAGCCTTTCTGCAGCACAGGTAATGACAGAACGTAGTCTGTTTTAAGTCTGTCTTAAGATGTGGTTAGGTGAAAACACACCTCTGTTTTCTTGGAACAGGTTGGCAGTTATAATCAGGATGAGAATATGACGAGGTAGGAAGCCTGGTCATAGGAATCACATTATTTCTCTGCGAATAATCAAGAATTGTTTTTGGGGGGAAAAAGTGTGTGGCCTTTGGGCAGAAGTGCTGTTGTTTTGCCCTGCATTTAACCCTTTAAATAAATGGAGAGTGGAGTGGAGTGGAGTGGAGTGGAGTGGAGTGGAGTGGAGTGGAGTGGAAATCTGACCAATAATTACTGCGAGAACTCTGTATCTGCTCAGTTTATTTAAAAGACTATTCACTAAAATTTGGAAACGGTAGATGTTTTCTGTGGCTTAGAAAGCAGGCTAACAAGAATGCTTTTCAGGGTGTGTTTTCTCCCTCCTGCTCTGTTAGTTTGACAGGTTAGGGCTTAGAATGTGGTATGTTACATTTGAGGAATAAAATCTAAAACGCCTCCTTGGCCTTACGGGTTGCTTCTCAATTTTTAAAATTCCTACTGTACGTAACGTTTACGTGGTTTGATTTGCATGAGTTCTGTACCTGACTACAACTTGGAATTTTTAAAAAATCCGCTTTTGAGCACGCTGTAGGACTTTAACATTACAGGAATGTGAGAAGGATTTAAAATTCCTCGCCAACAAGACAGCTATCTTCAGAACCCATCACTCCACCAATGTGTGTAAATTATAGCTTCAGGTTAAAATTGTTAAATAGCTTTAAATGGTTACAGTTTAAAACCTTCATAAAATTAGAGTTTACATGGACTGTTACTTCTTACACATTCGGTAATTGTATTCCCTCTGTATTTGTCCTTGAACAGACTGAGAAATGGTTTCACTACTAAAATTGTGTGTGCCATCATAGCGGAGTATTTTTTGAAGTCAGCCTGTTCCTCCTCCTCTTTCCCATGCATAGTTGTTTGTAAAATATTAGAGTTATTTAAATTAAGTTATTAAATTTAAGACAACGATTAAAGTTGTCTTCAGATTTTTAAAATGAAACGTCCTACATACAAGAGGGAACAATTCAGAAAAGAAAAAGGTACCTACCCGCAGGGTACAGAATGAAGCGTATCACTTACTTTGAAGCACCCTTTGCTTGCCCCCACTTACCTCAGCTGCCACTTCTCCCTGGCACCGTTATTCTTCTCTGTTTAAAAAAAAAAAAAAAAATTTTTTTTTTAATGTTTATTTATTTTTGACAGACAGAGAGAGAGAGAGAGAGAGAGAGAGAGAGAGAGAGAGCATGAGCAGGGGAGGGGCAGAGAGAGAGGGAGACACAGAATCCCAAGGAGGCTCCAGGCTCTGAGCTGTCAGCACAGAGCCCGACGCGGGGCTCGAACTCCCGGACCGCGAGATCATGACCTGAGCCGAAGTCAGACGCTCAACCGACTGAGCCACCCAGGCGCCCCTTCCCTGGCACAGTTATTAAAGTATCCTTATAAAACTCCCCAAGGAAAGAGCTGTTTTTTTTCACTTCTTTTTCTTGGCCCTAATCTTGATTAGCACCCAGAGTATCCTTGGTAAATCACCAGGAAACAGTCATAAGTCACATTGGTCACTGGAAAAGGTGTGTGTCCCTGTGGATTATGTGCGCTTTAGGTAGTCTTAAACTTCCTTGAATACTTGTACTTGGCTAGCAGAAAGCATTTGAAGACATTCCTACCCTTTGTAAAATGTCTTAATTTGGAACCAGTGGCTAAGTTAGAGTATTTACACTTTCATTCAGTGGTGTTCTCACAGTGTCACTGCCAAATAGCTGACCACGAGTAGTGTTAGTTGTTAAGTGAAGCGATGTGGGGCAGGGAGGAGGCTGACCCCTTCTAATTAAGAATTTGAAAATAGTTTCACTGATTTACTGGTGAGCCTATATCTAATGTCCCCTTAAATCATAATCTGGATAGCTGAACATAATTTTTATGTAGAATTGACTAATTTTATCCTTCTGGTACTTTTTTTTTTTTCTCCTTTCCTTTATGGACCATCAGGAAAAGAAGTGTTACTATTGATGCACGCCTTAAACACTCTTTCAACTCCAGAGGAGAAGCTGGCAGCTCTCTGTAAGACATATGCTGATCTTGTGAGTATTATAGGGTGCAAAGCCCGTATAAAATATAACGAAAGGTGCATGTGCCAGATAAGCTTTTGAGATATGATTTTGATATGGTTTTAAATGTAAAGTTGTTTTTCATTACAAAACTGAGGGTAAGAATCTAATTTCTTGAGACGTAGGTTGATTGTATGGCCTCATTTTATGGTATGCTTATATACAGCATTTTACTAGTTTCTGGGATGTGGAATAGCTTTCCTAAAACTCAGTCAGCTCTGGCATTCCTAGGTCAGCATTTCCATCATACGTTTAGATGCCTGACAGTTGTGAGGATATGATTTTCTATATGTAGATCAAGAAATTGTAGACATGAAACACGGTTAGATTCAAAAGTGTTTAACCATTTGACTGAAGTTGTGAGTTTTGTGAAGTAGTGTAGTAAAACAGTACTATTTCTCAGGAAAATATTTCCTTAGCATCCACTATATGCCAGGCACTGTGTTTTTATTTTTATTTATTTTTTTAATTATCTATTTTTTTTTTTGCATCTTCCAAAGAAACTGACTTGTATGAAGAGTTTGTTCTGGTCTGTGGCCCATGTTATTGCAAGTAGCATTCACCTTGGGTATATGGAAACATTCTCAACAAGGAAACCCTGCCATCATTTTAAAAGTGAAGAATGCAGGGGGGGGGGTGCACCTGGGTGGCTCAGTCGGTTGGGCGTCTGACTTCGGCTCAGGTCATGATCTCACGGTTCGTGGGTTCGAGCCCCGCGTCGGGCTCTGTGCTGACAGCTCAGAGCCTGGAGTCTGGTTCGGGTTCTATGTCTCCCCCTCTCTCTGTCCCTCCCATGCTCATGCTCTGTCTCTGTCTCTGTCTGTCTCTCAATAATACATACATGTTAAAAAAAAAAAAAAAAAGTGAAGAATGAGATAGGACATTTTGAAGAATCGTGGCAGGAATGTTTTAGAATTGTTGGTTCCAAGGTAAATGCGGAAATTCTCGTGGGTTGTGAAGTGTCTGTGTGAATTACCAGTGATGAATTTTGTCCATTCACATCTGTTTGAAAGCATCTGCTCCGTAGCATACACATTACTCTTTTCTGAATAACTGAGTCTAAGTATAGAGCTGGAACAGTTGTACTTACTACCGCTCCAGGTGGCACAAGTATACCCCACTTAGCGACCTGGCACCTTCTGAAAATTGTGGAGAATTTTCAGGAATGGCCTAGAGCGTCTCTGAATGGCCTACAAACGGTCCAGATGCAAAGATGGCAGCAATCAGAGTTGTTGGGGATTGCCACGTCAGGAAAGGCAAGAGCTACACATCTGCTCTGGGAAACAGCCAGATGGAAGCTTCTGCTTCTGCTTCTGGTCCTACAGAACTCCATATATTTGCGTATTTTAAAATGTGTTAACCTGGGGCTGTACTCCAACTAGTACAGATCTCAGTGCTCACTGAGATCCGCCTACATTGGGACCCCAACGGGCCTTGGCACACTGAACATGTGTGTCTATGAAGGGCAAAATAGGCCATTGACAATCCTGAAGGTTTGAGAGACAACCAAGACCTAGGGCATTGCTGAACTCCACGGTTCCTCTTACCCAAGGCATCCCCTCAAAACTGGGAGGGGTGACTGCTTCAACTGTTGCATAGAAACAGACACAGAGAGTCCAGAAAAATGAAGAAACAGTGGAATGTGTTCCAACAGAAACACCAAGATACAACCTCGGGAAAACCAACCAACCAACCAACCAACCAACCAAGCCTTAATGAAACAGAATAGGTAATTTTTCTGTTAAGTGTCCCAAGTGGTGGTCATGAAGGTGCTCACCAAACCTGAGAGAAGCATGGATGAGAACAGTGAGCACTTTAACAAAGAGATCGAAAATACAAAAGAAAAGAAAAAAGAAAAAAAGCCAAAGAGAAGTGGTCGAGCAGTGGAATACAATTAACTGAACTGAAAAATACACCAGAGAGTTTCAACAGCAGACCAAGTGAGGTAGAAGAAAGGGTCGGTAAACTTTGTAGCAAAAGCAGTGGAGCTCACCATCAGAGAGCAAAAAGAAAATGGGAAAAAAGTGAAGATAGCTAAAGGGACTTACAGGACAACATCAAGTGGAGAGCCAAGAGAGAAAGAGGAAGAAAATTTACTTAAAACAATAGCTGAAAACCTCCCTAACCCGGGGAAGGAAACAGACCTTGAGATTCAGGAAGCACACAGTTCCAAATATTATGAACCCAAAGACATCCACACTGAGACACACTGTACTTAAAACGTTAAAAGTTGAAGACAAAGATTATTATAAAGCAGCAAGGGAACAAAACCAAAACCAAAACCAAACCAACCCAATTTACATACAAGGGAACCAACCCTGTTAGCCTATCAGCAGGTATTTCAGCAGAAACTCTGCAGGCCAGAGTCAGTGACATGATATACTCAAAGTTCTGAAAGGAAACGAACAAAACACTTGTGACTAACTAAGAATACCCACCAGGCTAACGCTATTATTCAGAATTGAAGGACACGTAAAGAATATCCTGGAGACGTGAAATCTAAAACTGTAAAAGGAAGTCCTTCAAACTGGAAAGAAAGGACACCAATCAGCAATACAACGTGGAAGTATAAATCATACTGCTCACGGTGAAAGGCTATAAAGGCAGGGGCTTCATCACTTTAAACCTCGTTTGAAAGTTAAAAGGGAAAAGTGGTAAAACTAACCATGACTACAATAATCACGGAGAGAATACACACGATAGAAGGTTTTTCTTTGAATGTGCCATAACATCCCGAAACATGAGCAAAGAATTAAAATGTAGAGCTTTAGAATGCATCCTAACTTAAGTTGTTGCAACACAAAATAGACACACACACACGCACGCACGCACGATGTTACGCGGGAGCCTCTTGGTAATCACAAGACAAAAATCTGTGGTAGATAACCAAAAGACGTTGAGAAAGGAATGTAAGCATACCACTTAAGAAACTCATCAAACCCCAGAGAGCTGGAGAAGAAGAAAAGAAACAGAGTAACTACAAAACAGCCGGCAGCGAGTACAGACCTATCCATAACTACTCCAAGTGTAAAAGGACTAAACTGTTTAATCAAAAAAACATAGTGATTGAATGGACTTGGAAAACAACAGTCATCTCTATGCTGCCTGTGAGAGAATGACTTAAGATGGAAGGATGCACACAGAGCACAAGTGAAGGTACGGGAAAACACATCCCATGCTTATGAAAACCAAAACAAAGCTGGGGTACCTACGGTCACATCAGACAAAATAACCTTACAAATAAAAACTGTGTAAGAACAAAGAAGGGCGTATCATAATGAAAAATCCGTCAGTCCAGCAAAGGACATAACATGTTTGTGTATCTATGGACCCAACATAGGAGCGCCCACATACAGAACACAAACATTAACAGACCTGAAGGGAGAAATAGATAAGTATACAATGACAGTAGGGGGCTTTCATACCCTATTTACATCGATGGACCAATCATCCAGACAGAAAATCAGTAAGGGAATATTGACCTTAAACAACACAATAGAACAGGCAGACTTAAAAGCTATATACAGAACATTCCATCCCAAAGCAGCAGAACACACCTTCTTTCAAGTGCTCAAGGAACGTTCTCCAGAATAGATCCCATTAGGCCACAGCCTTGCCAATATTTGTTGTTTTCTGTTTGTTTAATAAGAGCCATCGTAATGGTGTGAGATGGTGTCTTACTCTGTGGTTTTGTTTGCTTTCTGTAATGATTAGTGATAGTGTGCATCTCTTATGTGCTTATTGGCGATGTGTTGGTCAGCTCTGGAGACATGTCGATTCAGGTCTTTTGCCCATCTTTAAATTGGGTTGTTATTTTGTTCTTGTGCTTTAGGAACTGCCTATAAGTTGTGGATGTTAATATCTTATGATACGTAATTTCACCATACTTTCTTCTGTTCTATCACTTGCCTTTTCACTCCCTTAATGGTATTCTCTGATGCACAACATATTCAATTTTCATGAAGTCAAGCTAATTTTTTTTTTTTCCCTTCTGTGCTTTTGGTGTCAGTCCAAGAATCCCTGGCAAATGCAATGGCATGAAGCATTTCCCCAAGTTTTCTTCTAAGACATTTACAGGTTTAGGTCTGACATGTAAATCGGGATCCATTTTTTTTCCCCCCAAGAGATATTTGGGATATAGGTTTTAAGATTTTTCCAAATACTTGCCTTGGTTTTCTTTTTCTTTTCTTCTCTTGGCTTGGCTTGGCTTGGCTTGGCTTGGCTTGGCTTGGCTTGGCTTTTCTTCTCTTTTCTCTTCTTTTTTTTTCTGTTCTTCTTTCATTTTTTTCTTTTCTCTCTCTCCTTCCTTCCTTCCTTCCTTCCTTCCTTCCTTCCTTCCTTCCTTCCTTCCTTCCTTCCTTCCTTCCTTCCTCCCTTCCTCCCTTCCTCCCTCCCTCCCTCCCTCCCT